CAGTTGTTTAGTATATTATAATTAAACTTAACTACTATGTAGTAATATAACAGGTCTCTCACCTTCCTCAGTTGTGAATTAGTAAACCATAGCCCTTGTTCATCCAAAAGGATAGATGTTCAAATGCAGAAGTGCCCACTGAAGACCAGCAGACTACCCCGTGCTTGAAGTTAGGACATTCTATTTCCAGAATAATTTACGCAGGTTAACTATGGCCATTATCTGAAATTGCATATTGATCCAGTGTGTTAAAGTAGCTTATTGCAAGACAAATCCTGCAATATTTTTACAGTTTCTATCAGAACACTTGCACATAGGGAAGGGTATTACAGTAAAGCTAGATTCAAGAGACATCTTTATATAAATACAAAAGAAACGGGAAATTTCCTGCTTTTGGAGCAGCATTATGATAGAAGTAACCATAAATGTAATTTCTTAGGCAGCTTTATGCAGTGTAATTTAGTTTTTCCTTTATAAAATAACATATAAGGTTGAGAATTTTGGCTATGCCATTCCACATTCAGTTGTAACATTGTAAACATTCATCTTATATCTTCCTTTATGTGAAGCTATAAATGTCCATCAAAATATTTGCATCTCTTCAGTAATTTAAAATATTAAAAACAAAGGCCAAATTTCAACATAGTTGTCAAATGGTTTCAGACCTTCGCATACATTTCTATATACATACTCCAGTTAGTCCTGCCCCTCCATATATACTCATACCATGCAGCTTGTTCCTGACTGAAGTAATCTCTGAAAAGGATATACAGTTGCATGTCCTGAGAATATCGAACATGAAAGCATACATGTATGAGTAAATCCATGGCATGTGCCTGTGGAAAAAATTACTTCTAGAATTTATTTCATTATTTTGATGCCCAGGATGCACTTTGTGTTTTACACATGGAGGTTTCGTGCCCTGCCCACACAGCACAATGGAGTTCTGTGTTTGGGATTCCTGAGCTGGTTATACATGATTTATCTCAGGTACTCCATGTATGTAGTTACCCAGGAGAAAAGCTAGCTTTGCTGTATGCTTTTTCCAATAAATGAGCAGACTCATTTAGAGTTATTGCCAGGATCTTCTTGTTGTGGCACTGCTTTGTGCTGCATAGACATACCTTGGAGGAGAATTACGTGTAAATCACTCATAACAGTCTGAGGCTGGAGTCTTGCATTTTACTCAGAAACTTGTACAACCCTTACTACAGACATCTACATGCTGGCCATTATTTTCTAACCAGATCCTCGTGCTGTTCTATAAAATATCTGCTTATATGTTATCCAAATAAAACATTCTGAATTTTAATGAGTGAAATTTTGTTGCTGTTTAATCCTTAAAATGTACTGATCTAATTTGTGAGTGTCCCTTAATTACAAAAAACTGAAGCCTGAAAATTAGGTCCTCGACATAGATAGTCATTATTTTCGTAACTCTTTCATTTTTACCTCCATAATATATGGAAAGAGAAAATGACCAATTAAATGACCAGAGGCCTTAATGATGGGTTATAGTCCCAGCACTGCCACTCGCTCCTGTCAGTGCCGAGTCAATTTGGATGAGTCATTTAACATCTGTCCACAAAGTGTCCTTACCTGTCTAACAGAGTTATTGCCAAGATGAGCTGTAGTTAAGCACTTGACTCTTTAGGCACTGAGAAACTTAGAAAAGTATTATTGTCATCGTGAATCTCAATAATGGCCACGTAATCACCATTGGAGCACTTGGCCAGCCTTCAGCCACCACTCCTTGATCGCAGATACTGAATCAAGTATTTTCTGTGCCTTCATGTTCCCCTGCCTTAGATCATAGAATCACAGAATGCTTTGGGTTGGAGGGGACCTTTAGAGGTCATCTAGCCCAACCCCCCTGCAGTGAGCAGGGACAGCTTTAACCAGATCAGGTTGCTCAGAGCCCCAGCCAACCTGACCTTGAATGTTGCCAGGGATGGGGCCTCCACCACCTCTCTGGGCAACCTGTGCCAGTGCTTCACCACCCTCATCGTAAAAAATTTCTTTCTTATGTCTAGTCTAAATCTATTCTTCTTTAGTTTAAATCCATTATTCCTTGCTCTGTCACAACAGGCCTTGCTAAAAACATTGTCCCCATCCTTCCTATAGGCCCCCTTTAAGTATTGGAAGGTCGCAATCAGGTCTCCTCGCAGCCTCATCTTCTCCAGGCTGAACAACCCCAGCTCTCTCAGCCTGGCCTCATAGGAGAGGTGCTCCAGCCCTCGGATCATTTTGGTGGCCCTGATGATGATAATGATATTCTTAAATGAGTTTTATAGATGTTCGGGTTTCTCCCATGCTTAGTCATAATAGTATGGACATAGAAACTGAAATATTTGCAACATACTGCTGGCCAAAAATCTAGAAGCATTTGCTGCTATTCAGACTATTTGATAACTATTCAACTACTACTGTTTCTTTCTGAGTGCCTATTTTGGACATTCTGTTCAGATAGGTAAACACCTAGCACTCTTGGTCAACAAAAAAACCCAAATTTTGGATCATAGATCAAATCTGAAGAAAGGAATAAAATAGAGAGTTTGAGAATGTAGCAGCTGGACTGGTAAATAACAAAATGGGATTACTGGGAAATTGCACATACGCATGCCAAATGTAGAAGAAATCTGAATGTTTCTGCTGACTGCACAGATCTGTAGACTAGAGAGATCTGATGAAAGGAAAAAGTTTTATTCTGTCCCCCATTCAAAATCTAGTCTTTTGGTTTTTATATCACTATTCATATCATTAATGTAGAAAGTGTTTATCTTGGTTCAACTGAAGAGCTTCAACAGGGCAAGGGATAATTAGAAGACTGTTGTCTGAGAAATTAGAAAGTAATGGCCTTGATACATTCAGATGAGGCCAAAAGTGCATCATGAAATTCCTTCAGGGAAGTTAAGCCTAGAAAGATACCAACATTCTGAGTTTATTGCAATTTCAATGTGAGGCTCTAAAGGGGGTGTGGATCAAATCTGCTATTGCAGACAATACTGTCATGTAATACTAATCATAATTTTTCCTCTGGGTATCTCCTGTTCTTTCAGCTTGTTAACCTTGCTTTATTCCAGTGGACATTAGTGAAGTGTAACCGTATTCATATTATTCTCATTAAACGTAAGCCTACAAACATGCTATGCAGTTCAGAAAGTGCCATTTTTCCATTTCTCCATATGTGTTCTAAGACATGTACTTTTCTCGGTCACCAGATTTTGCCCCTTTTGCTATGTTGTATTTGCAGTACAGAATCATCCTCTTGAGCTTTTCTGCCCCATTTCTCCACATTGCGTTCCCACAACACATACTCAGCAGAATATCTAGCTTGCAACCAGATACCATAGTTGTGGAAGCTTGATAAGCCCTTGTCATAACAGTAGTCCCTGACATTTAAAGAACTTCAGTTTATATCTGCAAACCAAATTTCATACCTTCATACCTCTTTCGATTAATCAAAGTTAAACCATTGTATATGTGAAGGGGCCTCTTGTGGTTTCTAAGTAAGTAGTATGGCTTTTCTGGCAGAGAGCCACAAGCAATTTAGTAGGTACATATTGCGGGGGTTGAGAGAGGAAGAGAGAGAGGGATAATCTAGAAAGCTTTAAGAAGGGCTGAGTGAAACCAATATTTCTATACACAGTACAAGAATTTTGTGTTCTGTATCTTACTTTTGGCCACAGCAAAACTTTTTTGATGTGTTGTCAGTAAAGTAATTCTGAAATACAGCACCGACTTGGTTTTCCTCTCACTCAGCCAGTTTTGCACTGGTTTTGCTTCAGCTGAAGTATTCCCAACTTGCACCTGTGGCAAAGAAGAGTTAGGCACAGGGGATTTAAAATGCACAGTGTACAATTAAGTGTCATGTATGTCGCTAAATTATTTCCACAGGAATAACTCTATATGGTTCCTAGTTGTCTTCAGAAATAATAAAGTTTAATTTTGTAGCCTAAATGTCAAGATGAGGTTTTATCATGTAACTTTTGCCCCAGAGCTATACAGCTGTAAATAGATACTAACATAAAAGGTCTGTCTCCAGCAGAGCTGATCGCCCTCTCCGTTTCTGACAGGGGTCACATAGCCAATGTAAATTACCACCATAAACTAAATTCCACCTCTCCTGTAGAACAAAGCGCTTGATCTGCCTGTCTAGAAGCCAGGAGCTATGCAGAGAACTGTAATATTTCAACAATTCAGCATGAGTGGCAACCTGTTCTTAATAATGGAACCCTGGCAACATTTAACTTAATTTTGTCTCGACATATTAAAATCCATCCTTTCTTTAGAGGATTTAAGAACTATCTGATGGGAACTTGAAGACAAGGAGAATAATTCAAGTAGAAGCACTATCTTCCTCTGTATTTCATGTAAGATTCAGGTTCGACATGCACTTCTTGCTATCAGTAGGGAATGAGTTACTCTTAAAAGCGGATAGCCTAGGCATCTCAAGAAGAATTCTTGAATTCTTCTCCATTTTATCTGTCATTTTGATTTAATTACAAAATCAAATTCAAATATACAACATTACGTAGCCATGTCAAAAAAGTGAGTGGATTTTAGTAGAAATGGCATTACAATTGAAAAATTAAAACTATTATTGCTAAGTTTTTGGAGGTATAATGATTTACATGGATGTTTTATAACTAAGCTACAAAATGCTGTTAAAAATGACATCTAGGCTGGAAACTATACCTTGAAACTAGATTCTTATAATTGTATAGATACAGCATCTTGAAATTCAGTCTCAAAGGTCTCAGAAACTGAACACAGCACTTTAAAAACTATCCAACAGACAATATCACAGAAAATTTGGCCCCAGTTCAGTATGTGACTACCTAGAATATTTTACCCACTCCTTGTTTTATATTAAAGATGAATTCAATGTAAATGTTTGGAATTCTTCTTACAAACTTGTTGAAAAGGGACAGTATGTTAGCATGACGCCCTTGTACAAACCTGGTGTTTAGCAGATTACGTATGTTATTCTGTTATAGGTACACTACAGTGATAGACAAAATGGCAAAGAGTGTATGACCTGTTTGACACTGTCTCCTGTGCAGATGACTTTCCAAGGTATCGGAAGCTCCATTGAAGCCAGCCATGACCAGGTATAATACCTTCACCCCACACTCTTGTAATTTTATTAATATCTAGTAAGGCCAGAATGTCAGCATTAGTAAATTTTAAATTTCAACACATCCTGTGATTTTCGTGTGGCATGTTCTTGTCACTGGGATTTGCCTATCTTGCCATAGTAAAATCCTGATTAGATCTAAAGAGTGACCCAAAAAGGAGACAAAACTATGTTGCCTTTTATATATTTTTAAGACATATTAGGAAAGCCTGAAGAACTTGCTTTGTTTTTAAAGTCAGATGTAATGTTTCTGCAAAGGTTTTGTTTAATTTTATGTATGTATCGGGTCTTGTCTATCCTATTTTTCCTGGAAGATTATGGGTAGCTGGAAAAGCAGAGAGATGAAGCTGTCATCTCTGGCCATTATCTGTCATAAGAAACTGGCATTTGAGAGGGGAAAGGGATTTTTAATCAGGCTCTGTAAAACTCCCATTTTATTTGGCTGTTCTTAAAATGTTTAATTCAAACTTCTGGCAAAAAGCCAGGAGAAAAAAAAACTCACAATGTTAATCACTCATCACCCTGCTGCTCCAGGTGGGAACTGAGGGGGACTTCCATTCTAGTTTTCTTGTCCTCCAACACTCTTATGTATAAAAGCAAGACAAGACTTTGATATTCCAAAAGTTTTAAAAGCAAAAAAGAAACAAGTAGAAGAAAACTTTAAACCAAACCTTGCACCTTGCAGAACTTCAGTAGATTGGAAAAAGTACCATTTTTATTTTCCTTCGCAGGCCATCTTTAAATTGTACTGTGTTCACATTTACCATGCATTTTATCAGACTCTATGTAAGATTCTCTAAGTAAAAAGGAAAAGTCACCTTAAGAATTATGAGAATTAGTTACTTTTGGGGAAAAGGTTCAGGTACTCTTAGCCGTATTTTTGGTTGGTAGGTTTTTTTTATTGGAAGTTTCTAAGTTAGTTGTTAACATAACCTAAGCCCATCAGTTATTTACATGGTACCATGAGGATACTTCCTGTCCTTAAGTGTTTGGTGTTTTACAGTAATGGAGAGCTGTGGTAAGTCAGAACATACTTCGACAGACATAATCCATTCAGTTCTCATTTCAGCCAGCAACTTGTTTATGCTGTTCTAAAGTCGCTCCGTTTTTCTTTCAGTAAAGATCGCCTTTTAAAATTTAGTTATAACTCAAATACAATATTTAGACATTTCAATGAATTTAAGGTGGTCCCTGTCAATTTGGTAACAACTACATTCTGGGCTACCAGCCAGCTTGGCCTTTGTCTTAGCATTTATTTAGGCTAGAGTATGATATATAAACAGAAAAAAGACTTTGTAAGCAAAAAGCACATTTAATCCATCTGAATAATTATATATGTAAGACATCTAAATGAAAAAGTGTTATTGAGCCTGCAAAATCAAGCACCTAGGAATTAGGAAATTCCAGATTGTGTGCAGCATTAGTGTGATCCCAAGTGTACCCATTCAGTGCTCCAAACAGGACATTCTTCTGGGAGGAAAAAAAAAAAATATGCATAAATTCACATGGATAAAGATTGTATGTTAGCATGTGCACAAATGGGTGGAATTAAGTTTGTTTGGGCCATTATGTAGCTAGAATCTCCTAATCTTGCTTCAATTTGAAATTTAAAAAATGTTCATCATTGGGTTTAGTTATGTAATTTTCCACAGGGTTCTTAAAAAGGAAAGAAAAATGGTTTGTCATTGCATGATGGGGTGGTTGTTGCATATTGAACCCACATCACTTGTGCAAAGATTTCATCTGAGCTAGAGCAAAAGAAAATAATCATCTAAAAGCCAAGTGCCAACCAGTGGGTCACAAAATAGATCCACATACTGGACAGGAGTCACAAATTTCTGTTCATTCCCCTCCTAAATATCAAAGGAATTCCACTTTCTGGGGAAGAGAGCTGCTACTGACTACTTGTGTTTGATAAGGGGGGTGGCAGGACTGGTATGAAGCATTATTTGCCATCATCTAAAAAACCAGAGAAAACTGAATCATTAGCAAACAAATGGAAAGCACATTAAGTGTTTGTCAGGCATTAATTAATTAATGACAAAATTAGACCTCTTAATGGACTAACTAAAAAAAAAAAATCCCCTTTTCTTTCTTGTTCCGATGTGATTGGTATGATTTTGCTTGTTTTTCTACAATTTTCCTCACAGCAGGTTTATTTGATACCGTTATTCTTCTTACAAAAATAGGAGGCAGAACTGTTGTACCTTTGTTAAGCTGAATTATCCACATTTTAAAGTTTCAAATGTAGTAAGTGCAAGGTAGCCATATGCTATAAACCTTAAATTCTAGAAAACCTTCTTTAACTTATGCCACCTGTTACTTTTAAATCTTTTCTTTTGTATTGTATGGTAATTAGGATGGACTAGTCACCTGAAAGCCTGTGATTTCAATGGAGGCATGTTGATTTGTGTCAGCTATGAGGCCTGAAATAGTTTGACTTCAGGATCTGCCTACATCTGTGTTTATGAGGATAATTTTTCTAACATTCATTCTAAAATATAGATTTTATATTTTTTATTTTTATTTAATGGAAAACTGTCTGAATGAGACTCTGGAATAGTTTCTTTGTGGGAAAGTACTGGAATCTGTTGTGTGAGAACATCTAACAAAAAAGTTGTGTACCAGATTTGTCACTATATTGTGGCAGAGGAACCACAGCTGACCACATACCTTGACCAAAAAAAGAAACAGAAATTAAAAAAAAAAAAAAAGAAAACAGGTTCCCAATGGCATCTCCAGCACTATAGTCTACCTTTTAGATTGGATTTGTCTTTTGTAATATATCTCTCTACTCATATCCAGTGGGAGATTTGTTACCCAACAGATACCAGTGTGGTTATAATCCTACATAAGTATATTATCTTGCTTTTTCAAATATGCCAAGACTTGACACAGCAGTTTTTCAAGTCAGTTGGTCTTTTCCTATACTCTTTAGGGAGTTTTCATTCTTTAGATTGGTTTAGCTTGTGATTTTAGTAAGTTTAAATTTTTTCCCCACATACTTCATTTGAGCAATTTCAGATTAAAATAAACACTTCATACTGGTACACTGATTAGTGTGTATTTCAAATGTCTGATTAACAAGGCATATCTCATTTGGTCATGAAGCAGTATTGTGGAAGCAATTGCTGGTCACTATTCTTTGGTTTTTTCAGTACAATTTAGCTACAAGCAGCTTTTAGTTAAAATGGTCACCAATTTCTAGTGGCTTTCTCAAGCAAACCTAAGTTCTTCCTTAATGGTAATGAATCCTAGCATTTCTTTGCCTTGCTGTGGGACTGGAGACAACCTATTCTTAGGACTTAGGATGGACTTAGGCATGCAGTGTGAAACTGAGAAATGAATTGAATGTGGGTGATATAAAGAAACAGAAGGGAAGTCCAGGTAGTCGTTCTATTTGTGTCACTAAGAAAATTCAAGGTATGAGGGGTGGGAGACAGAAGAAGGAAAAATTCAAAGATAGGAGGCTATATATGCAAAAATAGTTGGAATGGAGCAGAAAACTAAGAAAGTGCAGGGAAATGGGGCTGTGAATGTCTAAAGGGCACAGAAGTGGGATAAAGAGAGGAAGTTAGAGCTAAGTGGAAGAGGGTGCTGAAAAAACCCACGAAAATTAATAAAAACATCTTCTCTACTGCTTAGTCTGAAAGTCTTAGAGAGTTCTGCTTGCTTAACTTCTCAAAGTATTGAACATTGAATTGCTTGTTACCAATACAAATAAGTATCTTTCAGCTTTAGCTAACTGGGTTATATGGAGAGCTCTTTGACTTCTTGAGCACAGACGTACCAAGAACTTTTAGTTAGAAGATGTAATCCTATCAGAGCAAACTATTTAAGAAAACAGAGGTTTCTGTTTCCCCTAAAGAATTCTAGTCAATACCATCGAGTTGTTAAGAGATGTACTTCACTCAACACAAATTATTGGACTCACTATAATGGTAGCTAGGTTAAATTTGACGGTCTGTGTCATACAAGACAGCCTGTGACATAGTTTCAATCTAAGAAGTGACACTTCTGCTGCATCTTGAACAAACTAGTGTCAAACTCAGCTTCCATGTTTGCAGGTGTATTTTGGAAACATGCAATGTTACCATCTTTAGTGGCTTTGTAGTAATTGCTGTTTTTCTGAATGCTTCAGCTCTAAGTGACTGGAGAGCTCTGCTTCAGGGGTATCATACCCCTGTGGTTGTCATAGCTGTGAAAAAAACCCTGGAAAGGGTGCATTCCTAAGTCTTGCTGAACAGCAGACAAATTGAAAGTATGAACATTCATTTTTTAATAAAATTATTTCAAAGTCAGTCCTGGTGATGAGGAAGAACAGATTGGGCCCATTTTGAGATTTTTGAATGCTTGCCATGGAGTACTCTAGCTGTACAACTGAATTTTTAACCCCCAGTAACTTGATGTTCATTGACGGGTGACCAGTTCTCTACTTAAATTTCAGGAGACAGATCAAAGACCAGTGCATTTTCTTAAAGTCTCATTACTTTAATACTTTTTGATTATTTTGGAGGTTTTAACCTATGCATGGTTTTTGGAGCTAGCAATACTGCCCATTTGTTTATTACTGACTTCTGCTGTTTACTTCACCCAATAGTCCCAATGAGATGTGCTGTTAGTGATGACAATGAATCTTTTACACTTATATTTTTAGTCCATGCTTTCTTATTCCCATCCGTTATATTTGTGTTGTATATTAGACCATCTTTTTAGAACTCTTCTACACTTTACAATGCATAAAATAGAATACTTTTATTTCCTAGGACAGATAACAGTTGTGTAATGTTATATATAATCTACCACTATTACCACTTTTATTTTCAAGTATAAAAATAGCTGGAAGGAGAATAAGAAGGGGCAGAAATTGTAGAAGTGGAAGAGCTACTGATGAGATAGACTTGATACGAGAGTCCAGCAGGGAGGACTCTGTAAGAAAAACAAAAGCCCAAAAAACTAATGGTGCAGTCAGTGAGTATGCAGAGGA